TTCATTGTTCATTTGTGTTCATTTCGGTGTTTGGATTTTTAGGGGAGGTGTGTACATTAAGATTATACTAAAGACTTATTCAAAAAAAACCCTTTAAACCTGGTTTTTCTCCCAAGCCTTGGACTAAACTGAATTGTGGAGCCCTCAAGAGTGCTCTATCTGATGTGGAGATATGTTGATTCTTCTATGTCAGTGTTCACCTTTCAATAAGTTGTTGTGTTTTATTTGTTTTTAATATCGCATGATGCCTAGAGTCATTCTGCATGTGGCATCTGCACAAAAATGTAAGAACAGTTTTGGAGGGTACTACACTAAACTCATAGATTGCACCATTTTTTTTCAAAAGGTTTTTTTCTAGGATTATTTGCTACTTGACCTGCAAATATTGAGATGACCACTAGATGGCAGGAAAGAGTCACAGAAAACTTCTAAGTCTTCTCTGCCATGTATGGATGGCTCAGAATATTGCAGCTCAGAGATGGTAGCACTAGTTCATGGATGGAACTCCTCAGTTCATATGCTCTTTGGCTACCCATCAGTCAGCAAACAGCTACACTACCCAGAAATTTGCTCTCCCTTTTAGCTATCTCTCTCCTGCCTCCATTGCTTCTGTTCCAAGCAAATCAGAGGCACACCCATGGGACCACCACTCTCAGGACTCATAGCAGAGGTTGTAATGCAACGTCTAGAAACTATAGCACTTCCACGCATACAACCAAAAGTATGGATCTGGTATGTAGACGACACCTTCGTTATAATAAAAAAGGAACAACTAGAGAAGACACATGAAACTATCAACAACATCTTCAAAGGAATAAATCACCAGAGAGGAAGAAAACAACAACACGCTACCCTTCCTGGATATCCACATCAGCAGAGGAAATGAGGGCAAATTAGAAACTCAAGTCTATCAGAAAACAACCCACACTAACCAAGTACTCCATTTCTAAAGAAACAACCCAACCTCCCACAAGAGGAGCTGTGTAAGAACATTATTCAAATGAGCACAAACACA